CAAGAGTCTTTTATTACTTGACCAATTCTGGTCGCTTTTAATAACATAATAACAATAATAATAATTTTATAATATAATATTTACGAATATCATAAAAATGTAAGTGAGAGATCTATAACTGAAATCGGCAATTACTTAGTTGCCAACCCAATAATTCTCACAGAGCAGTAAACATTAGTCACTCTTAAAATCCGCAGTCTAAATATATGATTCAATGAGAAATATGTTAAACGACCAATGACTATAAACACTTAAACAAATAAATTCTTTAAAAAATGCCATCTGCAGGTGTATAATAGAACCGCCGTATAAATTTTACAATATTGTTGCGAATTACACCATTTCTCTCGCGTCGCGGTATTTTATTTACAATAAAGAATATTAACTATAACACAATTCGATACAATAACAATTCAGATCTTTCAGAATTGGGATGTTGATCTTTCGACGGTCCGATCTCGACTCTTCGATTGTCCGTTAATAACACACCTCCGTGGCAACCCCTATCTTCTATTATTTTTTAAGGAGTTGTTCACAACAGGGCAGTTTCACATTGCAGCGACTTGATTTGGACAAGTCGCCGTAACAATATAAAATGGATATCAAAGCTACAAGGACGTTTATGGGTGTTGACCAAAGAAGGGAATATCAAAGTAGGGTAGGAGGAAAGGAGGTGGGCATGAATATGCTGAGCGTCCGACTCGAACGTATTGTTGTTTCGAGACCGCAGTCTTGATCGCGTGCGGTGACGACGAGCAGCCGTGGGTCCTGTGCGACGTCGATGGCGGAGGCTGACGTGGTCGATTACGACTCGGACTGCTCGGTCCAGTCGGTGTCGACTACCAGTACGATCTCGTCGGTCTCGGGAAGGAAGAGGAGCCGGCCTCCAGCGGTCGGCCAGAATGTTGGCCTCGCGGGGGCCGAAAAGAAGTACGTCGAGGCTTGCCGGATGGAGGATGAGCTGGAGGCGGTTGAACTATACTCGACCCCTCAATCCCGGCCCCCGCGACGAGCAGAGCGAGTATTCCTCTCCCCGATAAGGCGGAGCTGGCTCGGGATTTCCGGCGCCGAACGACCGGCGATTTGGCCGCGGCGGTTTTGGAGAGCCAGGAGGAGGTGGCCAGGGTCGCTTCGGTGTCGAAGGGACTGAAGGGCACCCTGACAAGGGTGCTGAGGGTGGCCGCTCTAAATACCCGGACGGCTATTGGCGAGCTGGTCGCTCGGTCGTCCTCGGATTCGACGAGGGCCTTAGAAGTGGAGAATGCACTCCTAAAAGGACATTTAGTGTGAATCCGGCCACCGCAAAGGTGGCACAGATCTGTTTCCGCGCCCATAGGGCATACACAATAAACTTATATCCACGTTCACGCGGGACACCTACGAGAGTCCGAACGTGGATAAACCGACGCCTTCTCTTATCGGTCATTAGGCCGGGTACGGAAGACCCAGTCTTAACTACGCGTCTGTGTAAGGAGACTCCTAAAAGGACAGCTGGCGAACCTTCGGGCAGAGCTGTCCCGACTCCGGCAAATCGTAGAGAGCGGGACGGCGACGACCATGCCATCATCGCCATCGCCGCCTGGCCCAATATCTTCTCCGCGAGCTCGTCGTTCGGTGGCGTCGGTTGCTGGTCGGTGGGACGCGGGAGTCCCGCGCTTTGGGATGTGGAGCGATCGAGCTTGCACCTGCGTCTGCATCGGGGGATCTGCTGGCGTGGGTCAGCTCTCTTGTCGACGACAAACTGGAGTCGCTGAGGAGGGAGCTTGCGCCGCGGGTGATGCCACCTGCCGCACAAAACACTGCCTCCTCCTCCTTTCGGCGGCCGGTGGGGCGGTCAGGGACGGGGGTGGCTGGGCGGCGACCATCTGAGTCGGCGACTGTCTCGGCTGCCGATGTGCCACCTCCTGCGAGGTCGAGGGTGCGCTCGGTGGAGGAGTGGGCANAGTACGTCGAGGCTTGCCGGATGGAGGATGAGCTGGAGGCGGTTGAACTATACTCGACCCCTCAATCCCGGCCCCCGCGACGAGCAGAGCGAGTATTCCTCTCCCCGATAAGGCGGAGCTGGCTCGGGATTTCCGGCGCCGAACGACCGGCGATTTGGCCGCGGCGGTTTTGGAGAGCCAGGAGGAGGTGGCCAGGGTCGCTTCGGTGTCGAAGGGACTGAAGGGCACCCTGACAAGGGTGCTGAGGGTGGCCGCTCTAAATACCCGGACGGCTATTGGCGAGCTGGTCGCTCGGTCGTCCTCGGATTCGACGAGGGCCTTAGAAGTGGAGAATGCACTCCTAAAAGGACATTTAGTGTGAATCCGGCCACCGCAAAGGTGGCACAGATCTGTTTCCGCGCCCATAGGGCATACACAATAAACTTATATCCACGTTCACGCGGGACACCTACGAGAGTCCGAACGTGGATAAACCGACGCCTTCTCTTATCGGTCATTAGGCCGGGTACGGAAGACCCAGTCTTAACTACGCGTCTGTGTAAGGAGACTCCTAAAAGGACAGCTGGCGAACCTTCGGGCAGAGCTGTCCCGACTCCGGCAAATCGTAGAGAGCGGGACGGCGACGACCATGCCATCATCGCCATCGCCGCCTGGCCCAATATCTTCTCCGCGAGCTCGTCGTTCGGTGGCGTCGGTTGCTGGTCGGTGGGACGCGGGAGTCCCGCGCTTTGGGATGTGGAGCGATCGAGCTTGCACCTGCGTCTGCATCGGGGGATCTGCTGGCGTGGGTCAGCTCTCTTGTCGACGACAAACTGGAGTCGCTGAGGAGGGAGCTTGCGCCGCGGGTGATGCCACCTGCCGCACAAAACACTGCCTCCTCCTCCTTTCGGCGGCCGGTGGGGCGGTCAGGGACGGGGGTGGCTGGGCGGCGACCATCTGAGTCGGCGACTGTCTCGGCTGCCGATGTGCCACCTCCTGCGAGGTCGAGGGTGCGCTCGGTGGAGGAGTGGGCAAAAGTGGTGAGCCGTAGGGCGAGGCGAGCGGCTACCGCAGCCAAAGCTGCGGCGGGTGCGAGGGCGGTTAAACCGCCGCAGACTAAGACGGCCACGAAAAGGGTGGGCGCCACGAGGCCGGAGAAGAAGACGCCCTTGCCTCCGCGCCCGCCGCAGGCGGCTGCAATTACCATAACGGTACCGGCGGACGGGGGGCTTACGTACGCCGAGGCGATGTCCGCTGCCAGGTCGAAGGTGAACCTGGCAGAACTTGGCATCGCCTCGCTGAAGCCCAGAAGGGCGATTACAGGGGCCCGGATACTTGAGGTTCCCGGTGTTGATGAAGTCGCCACGAAGTCGTGGCCGATGCACTCGTCGTGAAGGTGTCGCAGGCTCTGGCGGGTACGAGGACGAGGATCGCGCGTCTTGTCAAGCGGGCTGAGTAGAGGGTGCGCGGACTCGTTGACTCGGTCACCCCCCAGGAGGTGGCCACAGTTGTCGCCCTGGTAGGAGGATCCAACGAGGGGAAGATAAAGACCGGTGCCATACGGTCATCCGTATTCTATAATTCTTCCAACAGCGTTTTTCTTTAAAAAATATCACTGTTACGTAGTAAAACAAATCCAGAAAGTTCACGTTCCGTGTCTTGTTCAATACTTCGAACGCGGCTCAAATCCGTCCCGACCTTCGCCAAAGCCACGTGCTCTCGAACCTCGTGCCATCGCCGCTCATTGATCACCGTTTTTCGTTAATAACTCGTAAACAAAGTACACGTATACGAAACATATACAGGGTGTCTCAAAATTACGCTACTTCCGGGAAATGAGGGATTCCTGAAGTTATTTGAAGCAACGTTTTCCTCAGCAAAAATGCAATCCGCAGCTTCGTTTACGAGTTATTAACGAAAAACACTGACCAACGAGAACGCACCAACGAGTGCACGGAGTCCAGTTCCGTTTAGTGGCTGGGCCGCCTCGCGCCAGCTGATCTCGCTTCTCATTGGTCACTGTTTCTCGTTAATAACTCGTAAACAAAGCCGCGGATCACGTTTTCGCTAAGGAAAAAGTTGCTTCAAATGACCTCAGGAACTCCGTATTTCTCGGAAATACGATAATTTTGGAACTTCCTGTATAACCATAATACAATTACGAATTATGTATATAAAAATAATAACACTTAACTAACCTACTATATAATATAACATGGAATATTATGGAAAATGTTCGTTCACAGAGGGTTGTTCAATAATCGGATAGAACCCTCACGGGCCTGTTTCGCACTGACATCGCAACGCTGAAAGTTCTGTCGCAGATCCGCGCCACCCTGAATCCCAAGGAGGTACAAAGAACTTTTGCGTCTCGAGTGCATGGTGCACGCGTTCTTGCAGCTTCCTCCCCCAGGTTTGTCCGGCGAGTATAATGGGCTGTAAATAACCGTTTTCTCGGCTCCATGCTAAGGTGGAATATTGTTTGCGATGGTAATTGTAATCTTTCCCGGATCTCATTTGCTGGCTTTCAGCCGTTAATATACGGCGGCTTCGTAGCACGGGGCCACGGCCCGGCCATAATTCACTGAAACGCAACAACAAACAGTTCATCTAGACCGGTGGTCGCGTGGGTGCCGCGAACGTTTCACTTTGCTCGGCTTCCCTCGGCCGTAGCCCCTTTGCCCCTCGGTTTTCCTACGTCGACGCGATCCCTCCTCGGGTTTCTTCGATCCCCGAGACATCTTAGTTGGGTCCAGTTACCGGGGGGCGTTTTATAGAGACGTCTGGTGATTTGCGATTGTCTCCCGACGATGGGGAAAATTGATTCGTCGGGGGACCTCGCGGCCTCCGCGCGTCGCGTTGCCTCGCTTCTCCCGCGGTCGGAAACAGTTTCACTTCTCGATTTGCTTCTTCCGTATTCGATGTATCTTTCGTACGAATCTTTCTCGCATTGACGTTTCTCTTTTCTTCAGCATTGTCGATTTATTTGGGTTACCTTGAGATCACCAACAATTGAGCCGTTTATTTTGAAAGTGGCATAAGTCACTTTACCGCAATGAAAAGTGGTGATTTTTTTAATGTTTATACGAAAATATTTATACTGGGAAAAATATCATCTAATTGAAAAGATAAAGAGCCGAATTTTTTTCGACATTTTTAAAATTTTACGTAGATATAATAATTATCTTATGATTCTTAGTAATGTTTCTGTTTTATTTCACTATGTTTTATAGACAATTCTGATACACATTGAAAATTAGCATGATAATTTTATTCTTTGAATTGTTATTTTTGAATTTTATTCTTTTCATATTTTTGAAGCTTAGTGAAAATTACCAATTATGAGCAAAAATTTGCTCATAAATTAAAATGAATTTACTTGGCGTGTATGATATTTATCATTTAATTTGCATTTCTGTTATCCAAAACGTAGCTACTAACTACTTAGCTACTAAATTCAATTTCAAATAAGAAATAGAGCAGAATCTATCTCATTAACCCAGTTCTCAACAAGGAACGGCGATGTTTACCATAGCTGTCTGCGGTACGTCGAATATAATTTGCAACAGTGACAAAATGGATTGTCAGAACGCGTTTTGGCTTGGAAATGTATGCCTTGTAGCAAAGTCGATGTGCTCAAACACATCTATAGATACCGCTATTAGTAATTAAACGGAATGTTGATTGATGTTACAGTATGTGAACTGCGTGCAACGAGACGTCGCGTACGGTCAAATTGATTTTCCACGATACTTTGTGCTGCCCGGTATTTAGAACAGATACGAATCGTGTTCCAGTGTTGAGCGCACGAGCTGCACGTAAATTTCCATCAACAAATTGTCGCTCAGCGTAGCATTAAATTGATGTCAGAAATTCAAATTTATCTTCACACCGATAATATTATGTAGATATAACCATCGATTGCTAATACATCTTCTTCGATTGTAAACCTAGTTTTAGATCGTTGTTTCTTAAATTTCCATATTAGACTGACGAGTTTAAATTTTCGATAGCAAGTTATAATGCACGGAAGTGTATCGTACCTAATGATTTGACTTTGTGTAATAAATTCTGAAACATGAAAGTGATTATTAAACTACTAAGAATATTTTCTTCAAAGAACTACATTATATATATATACTTAGCCACTATAGTGGCTTGCTCTAGTAGCTCACTCGCTCATCGTTTGAACCAAATAATCGTCTTCATATGCATTGTTTCACACTTCTTTTGTCTTCGCATCGATTTACAATAGTCTCCAGGGTGTCCCAAAAATGTCTCGCAATCCGGAAATGGCGGGTTCCTCGGATCATTTGAAGCAACTTCTTCCTTTACAAAAATTTTCTCCGAGGCACCGTTAACGAGTTATTAA